GGGTTTGAACCGCCAGCCGTCTGGTTAGCAGGCAAGTGACTTAGCCACTTTAGGACCATAGAAAGCACTGTAAACATATTAGCTTGGGAGGTGGTACTGACCCTAAACACACACACAGGCATACACACACAGACACATACATTAGTGTTGTTGTTATGTGCCATCAAGTCGGACCCGACTCATAGCGACCCCTCCTTGGGCTCCCGAGGCAATATCACTACGGAAGTAGATTGCCCCATCTTCCTTCCGAAGAGTGGCTGGTGGGTTTGATTCACCAGCCTTCTGGTTAGCAGTCAAGTGCCTTAGGCACTATGCTACCAGAGCTCCCTACATTAGTGTAGGGTTGGATATATTCATTAATTACAGGGTTAAATGATAAAAAGTTGTATAAAAAGTGGGCTCTACAAGGCACCCATACCCTCCCAAAATATGTTCCTAGATATTGGATCACTTCCATTCTTAAGACTGCAATTCTGTGCAGTTAGGAGTTGCTCAAGACTTGCACTATGTCGGAGAGAACCCATCCTGCTAAGATGTTGGATAGCTCTTGGGTGGATGATGGGAACTAGTGCAGCACTGGCTCATGTAAGAACTTTTGATACAGTACCTTTTTTCCCTTGAATCACACATGAAATGCAAAACTGAGGTTTGTTTGTTTTTTGGAGGGGTGGGGTAGGGCAGAATTGGGGGAGAAAAAAATACAGGTATTGAAGGTCATGGGATTGTAGTTGGTCAACTTAATTTAGAGTATAAGATGAAATCTGAAATGTTCAAAGGAATGAGGCACTCAAAGGGTTGAAATAAGATTTTTCTTTGGTTCCCAAGGACCTGTTCCAAGTCTCTCACTCCAAGGTCAAGTTCTACAACTATTCTTTTTGGCTCATAGAGCTCTCTGGGCACACAAAGAATGTCAAAGATTTAGATTCTAGTGTTAGCTGTGCACTCAGAGTGGTTAGATAACAGTTCACATTAGATGTGTAAAAGTAATTAAACCCAAATCCCTTGGCTCAAGGGCAAGACCCATCTACAAAAGCCCTTTCTCCAGATTCAGCTAGCAGCTGGGCTCCAGGCCATGCTGACCCCCAACTAGCTCATAACATGACTGAGTCCTCTCCTCCTCCCTTAAAAAAGGTCCTTGCTGAGTGTGCAGACCCAGAAGTACTTGGCTTCAGTGGGTGATATCCAGAGACTGCAACAGATGAAAGGTGGCCCCCAAGGCCCAGCCTGTCTCTATGTTGTTCACTTTCTTTGCGAGCTGTTGAAAGAAGAGAAAAAAAAAAGTCGTCTTCACATTTTCATCCAATTTTCAACTCTTAGCAAGCATGGCACTTGGGCAGATACTATCTGCAAAGAGCACCCACATGATCAAACCAGTGCAAAACTTGACAGTGGCCAGTCTTTGGAGGCTTCTCACTATCCCTGTCTGTAACAGTTTCCCTCCTCCCCTGGCCTGCTGCTCCCACACCTGCCATTCAGATCCTGGGATGCTTCTGGTCCAGGAAATGGTCCCACTCAGGTCTTGGAAACAGGACCTCAGGCTTCTGAACCGTTCCCTAAGTCTGAAACTAAACAGTGTCCTTTGCTTTATTTTTAGAAACACCAGTTTCTGATAAGGCAACTAACAATCAGTTGTTAATGGATGTGGTAGAAAGGGCACATTCAGTAGTTGGGAATAGATTTAGTGACAGGAAAGAACATCCCAAACTTCTTAATCATACTATGTAAGCAACTGCCTCTTGAGTACTAATAATAACCAACTTGGGCATTTAAGGCATTCTAGGCCACTCTGTACAAAGCATGAATCTAGGAAAATTGGAAGTTGTCAAAAATGAAATGGAACACAAAGATTGATATCCTAGGTATTAGTGAGCCGAAATGGACTGGTATTGGCTATTTTGAATCAGATAATCACATGATCTACTATTCCAGGAATGACAAATTGAAGAGGAATGGTGTCACATTCATTGTCAAAAAGAGTATTTCAAGATCTGCCTGAAGGACAATGCTGTCAAGTGACAGGATAATATCCATACGCCTACAAGAAAGACCAGTTACTACTACTGTCATACAAATTTACACAACAACCACTAAAGCCAAAGATGACGAAATTGAAGACTTTTATCAACCTTTACACTCTGAAATTGACCAAACATGCAATCAAGATGTATTTTTTATTCTGCAAAACACTGCATAATGTGGATGAACTTGGAGGACATTTGTTATTGTTATGTGCCATCGAGTTCAACCCGACTCATGGCGACCCCTCCTTGGGTTTCCAAGGCAGTATTACTATGGAAGTAGATTGCTCAACCTTCCTTCTGAAGAGTGGCTGGTGGGTTTGAATCGCCAGCCTTCTGGTTAGCAGTCAAGTGCCTTAGGCACTGTGCTACCAAAGCTCCCTGGAGGACATGCTGAATGAAATAAGCCAATCACAGAAGGACAGATATTGTATTAGTTGATTATTGTAAAAAGTCAAAGGTTTGTATATGGAAGAAAACTTTGTTGGTTACCAGTGGTAGGAGAAGTGGGGACGGAACACTGCAAAATTAAAAAAAATAAATAAAAAAGATGTATTGATTATTGTTGGTGATTGGAATGTAAAAGCTGAAAGCAAGAATCACAGGTTAAAAAAAAATCACAGGTAGTTGGAAAATATGGCCTTGGTGACAGAAATGACACCAGAAATCACATGACATAATTTTGCAAGACCAACAACTTATTCACTGCAAATAAATTTTTCAACATCATAAGCGGTGGTCATACACATGGACCTTGCCAGATGGAATACTCAGGAATCAAATCAACTACATCTGTGGGAAAAGGTGATAGACTCAATATCATCAGTCAAAATAAGGCCAGGAGTTGATTGTGGAACACCATCAACTACTCATATGCAAGTTGAAGCTGAAGAAAATTACAAGTCCATGAGAGCCGAAATGTGACCCTAATTATATCTCCCTTGAATTTATAGTAGACCATCTGAAAAACAGATTTGACACATTGAACACCACTGACTTAAGACTAGACAAGTTGTGGAATGACATCAGAAACATCATACATACATGAAAAAAGCAAAAGGTCATTAAAAAGACAGGAAAGGAAGAAAAGACCAAATTGGATATCAGAAGAGCTCTGAATATTGGTCTTGAAAGGCAAGTAGCTAAAGCAAATGGAAAAAATGACAAGATAAAGGAACTGAACATAAGATTTCAAAGGGCAGTTTGAAAAGACAGAGTAAAGTATAACACACTATGCAAAGATCTGGAGTTAGAAAACCAAAATGGAAAAACCAGCTCAGTATTTCACAAGCTGAAAGAACTTGCAGTGCTGTGAATTACTTGGTATGGCTTTTCTAGCCTAGTCTTTCTAACTCCCACCAGATTACTGGGTGGGACCATGCAAGTAAGGTGTATAGAACTCTGATCTTGGGATTGGTTAGTTCTGTCACTCTGCCAGGCTTAAAATGAGCTTTCCTAGAGACAGGGAATCTCACTACCATCAAGAGAGAAGAGCTGGAGGTGAAGTGGAGCACATCCTTGGACCTGAGATCCCTGCGCTGGACCTCCTTGGCTGAGATGCCCCAGTGAAGAGACACCCTGGCAGAGAGACAACCTAGTGGACAGATGCCCCAGCAGAGAGAGGGTGGCAGTGGAACCAAGAGGCATGAGACAAAGCAGCAGGCTCACCTGGCCTACAGAAGCAAGGCCAGGACGAGAAGCCAAGGGTCAGACGGGTGTCTGAGGGCACAGCAAAGGGGAGACTGTCCTGATCAAAGAGCTGTATCCTGAGCTTGTTCCTGAACATGAACCTGTTCCTGAATTACTTCCCTAATAAACCCCATAATCAAGAGTATTGTCTGTGAATTCTGTGTGGCCACTGCAACAAATTATCTAACCCAGAAGAGAAGTAGTGAGTACCGTGAGAGGGATGGTTGGTGTCAAAGTTGGTAAAAAGGCTGGAGGATGGTGGCATGTCTGGCCTCATAGGAATAAGCCTTGGGCTGCTGATGGTGATTCTGTCTTCCTCTTGTGAAGTTAGAGGAGGTCAGAAGATGCCACCTCCATGTCCTTTTTGTAGAACTGAAAAAAAAATTCAAGCATCGAGTTGCAGTATTGAGGGATTCTATGGACAAAATATTAAATTATACAGGAAGCATCAAAAGAAGATGGAAGGAATACACAGAGTCACTGTAACAGAAAGAATCAATTGATGTTCAGCTATTTCAGGAGGTAGCATATGACCAAGAACCAATGGTATTGAAGGAAGATGTTCAAGCTGCACTGAAGGAATTGGCAAAAAACTAGACTCCAGGAATTGATGGAATACCCATTGAGATGTTTCAACAAACAAATGCAGCACTGGAGGCACTTACTCGTTTATGCCAACAAATTTGGAAGACAAACCTGGCCAACTGACTGGAAGAGATCGATATTTGCACCCATTCTAAAGAAAGATGATCCAATAGAATGTGGAAATTATTGAACAATATTATTAACATCACACACAAGTAAAATTTTGCTGAAGACAATTCAAAAATGGTTGAAGCAGAACATTAACAGGGAACTTCCATAAATCAAGCTGGATTCAGAAGAGGATGTGGAATGAGGGATATCATTGCTAATATCAGATGGATCTTGGCTGAAAGCAAAGAATACCAGAAAGATGTTTACCTGTGTTTTACTGACTATGCAAAGGCATTTGACTGTTTGGATCACAACAAATTTGGATAATGTTGCAAAGAATAGGAATTCCAGAATACTGAATTTTGCTCATGAGGAACCTGTACATAGACCAAGAGGCATTTGTTCAAACAGAACAAGGGGATAGTGCCCGGTTTAAAATCAGGATGGGTGTGTGTCAGCGTTGTATCCTTTCACCATGTTTATTCAGTCTGTATGGTAAGCAAACAGGCTGAGAAGATGGACTATATGAAAAAGAATGTGGCATCAAGATTGGAGAAAAACTCATTAACAACCTGTGATATGCAGATAATACAACCTTACTTGCTGAAAGTAAGACTTAAAGCACTGATGAAGATCAAAGACTACACTCTTCAGTATGGATTACACTTCAACATAAAACAAAAGTCCTCACAACTGGACCAATACATGGATCACGATAAATGGAGAAAAGATTGAAGTTGTCAGGGATTTCATTTTACTGGGATCCACAATGAACACCCATGGAAGCAGCAGTAAAGAAATCAGACATCGTACTGCACTGGGCAAATCTGCTGCAAAAGACCTTTTAAAAGTGTTAAGAAGCAAAGTTGTCACTTTGAAGACTAAGGTCTGCCTAATCCAAGCCATGGTATTTTCAGTTGCCAGATATACTTGTAAAAGCTGGTCAATGAGTAAGACAGAAGAAGAGCTTATGCCTTTGAATTGTGGTGTTGGCAAAGAATAGTGAAATACCACGGCCTGCTGAAGAACGAACAGATCTGTGCAGTTGGAATGCTCCTGAGAAGTGAGAATGGCCAGACTTCGTCTCCCTTCTTTCATCATGTGGTCAGAAGGGACCATTCCCTGGAGGAGGATATCATGCTTGGTAAAGTAGAGGGTCAGCGAAAAAGGGGAAGACCATGAACAAAATGGACACAGTGGCTGCAACGATGGGCTCAAGGATAGCAAGGATTGTGAGGACAGTGCAGACCTGGGCAATGTTTCATGCTATTGTACACAGGGTCGCCGTGATAGGAGCTGGCATGACAGCACCTACCAATAGGCCAGAGACTGTGCCTTGAGTAGCTCAGTGACTTTGGGCAAAATTTTGGCCCCAGTTTTTTTCAACTATGTAACAAGAGTATTAGATTAATGTTTACCAAATTATTTTCTTCAGAATGCTAGGGGTTCTTGAAAGTGCTTCACAGGGGAAAGGGGAGGCCAGTAGTGAAGGAATTCCAGGCCCTCGGCCTATGCTTCAACCAGAATAGCTCCACCCTTTTAGTTTTATATTATTGACATTCTGCCTAAGCTGTTGTTGAATAAAGATGCTACCAGCACCACCGCTAAAAAAGTTTGAAAACCAGTCCTAACTTCTGTAACACAACAGTTTTGTGTCGACCTAATGAACTCTGGTCTAATTACTGTGCTGAAAACTGAGGAGAATGGCATTTGAATCATTCTCTTAATTGGCTCATTTAATTTTGGGGTAGCACTGGTTATAAGGTGTAGAGGGTATAGGCAGTTTGAGGCTTAATCTGGGACACTTGAGTCAAATTGGTATGGCCTCCTTCCAAAATGCTCTTCCTTTGTCCTCAAAACTGGGTTGCCAGCCTGTGGGTACAGATACTGAAGTGATCTTTGGGGCAGGGACAGACTCTCCATCTTTAATGCTTCATTTAAATTCTGCCTGCAATGAAATCATAGGAACTAAAAGTATGCCAGTACTGGAAATTACAGAAAAATTTCCTTAAATACTTGACTATTGTTGATGTTTAAGTAGAAGCAAGGACCTCTGGTGGCACAGTGGTTAAAGCACTGGGCTGCTAACCAAAGGTGGGCAGTTTGAACCCACCAGCCACTCTATGGGAGAAAGATGTGGCCGTCTGCTTCTGTGAAGATTTACAGCCTTGGAAACCCTATAGCGCAGTTCTACTCTGTCCTATAGGATTGCTATGAGTCAGAATTGACTCCATGGCAGTGGGCTTTTATTTTATTTTATTTTAAGTAGAGGCAGTTGTTAACTCAGTATGTGTGGAGAGGCTTGGGCTGATCTCTATTGTCCACAAATCTATCCCGTTGGTATGAAATGCCTCCACTAATAGTAATACCAACTCATCATGTACAAGGCACTGTGCTTTACAGGCATTAGCTCACTTAATTTGCATCAACAGCCCTATGAATCAGGTTGTGTAAGGAACCTAAAAGTTAGAAGGTAAAGTAAACCACCTAACGTAACAGAGCTAGTAAACTTGCAGAATCTGAACTTGAACCGAGATCTAATGCGCACAGAGCCCGTGCTTTAAGCATCACACTGCACTTACTCTACTAGCAAGCACATCTTCTGTGTTAATAAACTTTAAGCACTTTATCATCTTGGCAGATATAGTAACATATTAAGTCCAGACAGCAAGTATGAATGAGTTCAATGAAATCTGTATAACACAAGAAACAGGCAATAAAAACTCAACTGGAACTGGGGAAACAGGCAGGGGTAGTGGCACAAGGAATGGTGGGGGGTTTGTAAGACGATTACAGTCAATCTACTTACTTCATCTCAAAGTTCATAAAGTCTTGTGCCATAGCTAACAGACTGCAGGTTCTTTAAGGACAAAGGTTATATCTTAATCATCTTGGTAACTGTAATGTGCAATTACTCAATTATGGAATAGAAGAAAACAAATGGGATGTGTAAAACACATGTGTTTGGTATAAAAAGAAACAAAAAAACAAACTCACTGCCATCAAGTTGATTCTAACTCATAGTGACCCCCATTGGGTTTCCAAGGAGGTAAATCTTTACAGAAGTAGACTGCCCCATTGCCTTCTGCAGAGCAGCTGGTGGGTTTGAGCCACCAACCTTCTGGTTAGCAGTCAAATGCCTTAGGCACTATGCCACCAGAGCTCCTGTGTTTAGTATAGATATGTTAATATAGATAAAGTAGAGTCAGCATGTGCTGAAATAGATGGAGAGAGACGGGAGGACACAGAGGCACCTAGGATTCAAGAGGCACTCAATATATACAAGGAAGACATAAAATATTCAGACACACTACACATGCGTGCATGAGGCATTTAATATTCAAGAGTCACTCACTGGTGACACTCTTACGGCCTCTCAGGTCCTCTGCCAAATCAAACCCATCTAATGGGCTAATGGCTAAGCTAAAGCTACTGGCCAAGTATACCCACACCTGTACCACTCTGAACAGAGCAAGTTTGTGTGATGGCCCAGGCACTGTCCATCTGTTGGGGCCATTGATCAAACTTCAGTTTATAACTGTACCATCAGTGGCAAAGAAGGAGGCAGGATGTATGAGTATTGTATAACAAAGCATTCAGGAAGTTGTGGCACTGCACTCTTCCTGCATCCTGTCCTAAGTCTATTCACCTATTCCTTATCTTTTCCCTAATTTTTAAACTGATTCATTAAGTCCTAGGATTTGGGCATCTTATCTGGGTCCGTGAACTTTTCTGTTCTGTGATCTTGGGGAGAGCTTACCTGGTAATTTACTTAGAGGCTACCAATGCATCAAAGTAACTTCCTACATTCATGTGTCTAATACAGTACTTTGTTTACAGACCAAATAAAAATACACAATTTTACCTATAGCCATTCTGATTATTAAACAAGTTCTTGACTCCTTCCTCTCCCCCACAAAAGAAGACTGTTACAAGACTCCTACCTTTAAGATGGTGCTGTCTGCAAAGCCAAAGCCATCCTTTAACAAAGCTGTGATGTAACTAAGATCCATGCACAGAAAAGGGCTCCCTGAGGTGAAGTTTTCTAAGTTATCACACACTGAAAGTGAGAGAGAAAACATTCAAATTTGCAACTGACAGGTGTTTTTTGATTTTCTCTGAATACACATTTAAAATAGGCAAAGCAGAATTCACCATGTGGTTGATGCCTGGGCTTCTCAGATGCAAAAACTGTACAGACTGACTCTGAAAGTCATCAATTTCTTAAGAAATTCCCAATTTCTGATGTTACATCTTATCTACTCAAATTTACACGCATCCTAGTTTATCTGGTAAATTTCTATGACCTCTGTGTGGAGGCTTAGTTCTAAGTTCCTTACCTACTGTTAATGCTGAGCCCCAGAAGGTAAGGAAATACCAGTTTGCCCAGCTTTGGGGACACTGGCTAAGAGCATTTCTATTTTAGATCAACTCTTTCCAGGAAGCCTCTGTATCTTGTGCCCATGTATTCTGGTGCTCAGTGTTTCATTAACACTGATTATTTGAAGGAAGGATGGAAGAAAGAGTTGTAGAAAGACACAAAAGGTATTTATTCACTATTTCCCCAAAGCCTCTTACATCCCCATATGCTTGCCCAGATTCTATGCTACGTAATGCTTCTAACTCCTGGCAAAGACTGGGAGACTCAGGGAGGAAAAGGGCCTTTTGAGAGGCTTGCTGAGTTGACTGCAGTGCATTAGGTCACTTTCCAGTCACTGGGATGGGCAGGCACAGCCTCAGGCTCATCCCTGAGGGCCTCCACTGACACTTACCTTCCCTGGCTTTTTTTCCAAAATCTTCAACTTTCAAAACACCCCCTTTTTCAAAGTCTGAAATGAAACAGAATAGTAACTGATGTCAAAACGTCTTCAAGGAAACCTAAGGTAATTCATCCTAGTGATATTAACAATAATGAAAAATTAGAAATAAAATTTCCAGCATTAGAGAAGGGGATAACAAACATGACATACCCATACAATATAATCTGTGCAGCCACATTAGCTGTTTTTAGAAGGTAAGATTATTCGATTTTTCCTTTGTCAGCGTGTATTAAATTTTATACAAGAAACATGTGTCACTGGATTTTCAGTTTTAAAACTGTTTTAAAATGGTAAAGACGTTTCTACTCTTTTCTTCTCTAAAATCCCCTGAAAACAATAAGGAAATGAGGAACAGAAACATAGTCCATCACCAAAGAAACTAGAAGACAACTGTAATCCTGAATCACAGTATCTGAGGAAGGGATAGCACATGCAGTGAAGATCAGACAAGAGTTTGGGAGGAAGCTGGGTGCTGTTGCTGCCACTGTTCACAAAGTCTGGAGGCCCAAGGGTTAGAGGCAATCAAAACCCTATAAACCAAGGGGCTTGGTGTATGTGAGCGTCTGTGGGCATGCTGCAGGACCCTGTTTGGCACTGGGTTTGGTAGTAGAGACAGGGTAGACTGAGGAGACAGCTGGTGGGGGAGAGACTGAGCTGTGAGCAGCCTTCCAGCTTGGATCTCTGTCAGCAGGGAAAATAAAGCCTAAAAAGCATACACACACTAACACCCCCCGTCCCCTGTGTCATACAGAGCATCACTGTGGACCAGAGATGTCTTGCTTTCTTAGAACAGTGCCTGGACCCCACTCCCATATGATCCTCCTATAAACAGTTGGTGCTAAAAGAACTTGCATCATTTGATATGAGTAATGATAAAGAAAATGATGAAATATAGCTAGGAAAAACAGAAAGATTCAATAAGAAAAAAGAATAGGAAAAAGCAAAACAAATGATAGCAAAAGACACACCAGAGAACTCCCAAGGAACAGATGAAAATCATGACCACGGTAACCCCAAGATCTTAATGAAAATGGCATGAACAGCTCTCTTTCAGAAAAGACAAAACACAGATGGAAAAATGTGAACAAATGGTAAATTCAGGATAAGGACACACAGGGGTTCATTGTTCTATCTTGCACATTATCTACAAGAATTTGATAATTTGCAAATAAAAAGTTAAGAAATAAATCACAGAATTTTTTTTAAAAAAATGCCTCTTTAAAACAAGAGCTCCCCGGGACCATAGTTGCAGGGGACATCAAGCTCAATTGGCATTACACAGTACACAAAACATTGTTCCACCTCCTACTTTGGCGAGTAGCGACTGGGATCTTAAAAGCTTGCAACCAGCCATCAAGATGCAACAAATGGGTCTCTCCTTGTCCAGAGCAAAGAAGAATGAAGGAAACCAAAGATTCATGGAAACAATTAGTCCTCGTTACTGGTACACCATGTGATCCTCAGCCTATATGACCATGAGACCAGAAAAACTAGATGGTGCCCAGCTACCACTGTCAACCACTTGGAGGGGGATCTATGTAGGAGAGATCCTGGATACAGAGGGAGAACAATGTGGAACAAAACTCAAAATCATTTGAGGTGGGGGGACCAGGTTTGCTGGTTCTGATAGAGCCTAGTGGAACCACTGAGACTATGGTCCCTAGCTGCCCTTCAGGTCTGGAATTAAACCCACACCAGTGGCTTCCAGCCAAACAAAAGACAGGCATATGAGCTGAACATTTGTCTGAGGTAGATACACTCCTTAGAGGGAACAATCATGGGAGGAAGCAGGGCTATTTATGTACATGGAGACAGTTCAGGGGGCAGGAGTACATGGAGGGATGGACACAGGGAAGAGGTAACTATCAGGAGGAAGTGGGAAGGGAGCTGTTGCATTGGGGTAAATTGTAGTCAATGTCATGAGACAATGTGATTGTGAACTGCTGTATAGAAACTGAATTTGTTCTGTAACCTTTCACCCAAATCACAATGAGAAAAAAATGTTGCAGAACTTGAAGGATGTAATCAGTGTCACTGAATTGGACATGTAGAAATAGTTGAATTAATGTATGTTCTGCTATGTATATTCTCAACAACAAAAAATAAATTCTATTGAAAAACAAAACAAGAGCTCCCATACCTTCTTGAAGGAGCTAATAAATCATTAGGAAGAAATGACAAGAAGAAAGCCACAAGAATTAACAACTATAAAATAGAGATTAACAGGCACAGGCAAGGGACAAGGAAGACAATAAAGGTAAGCCAAGAGAAATGGGAAAAAAAATATATTCAAAGATATGATTCACAAAGGGAGCTCTGGTAGCGTAGTGCCTAAGGCACTTAACTGCAAACCAGAAGGCTGGTGGTTCAAACCCACTAGCCACTCCTCGGAAGGAAGGTTGGGCAATCTACTTCCGTAGTGATAACCACCTCGGTAACCCAAGGAGGGGTTGCTATGAGTCGGGTCCGACTCGATGGCACATAACAACAAAAACATAATTCACAAAAAGTTTCCAAAAATAAAAGATTAGAACCTTCAGATTGAAGGCAGATATTACAGTGACTGAAGGAAACCTGATAGATAATGATCTCCAAACTAAAACTCACTGCCATGGAGTCAGTTCCTACTCATAGTGACCGCCATTGGGTTTCCAAGGCTACAAATCTTTACGGGAGCAGACTGCCTCATCTTTATTCCACAGAGCAGCTGGTGAGTTTGAACTGCTGACTTTCTAGTTAGCAGCCAAATGCCTTATCTACTGTACTACCAAAGTGAGCCTATGTTGTTGTTGTTGTTATGTGCCGCTGAGTCAGCCCTGACTCATAGCGACCCCTCCTTGGGTTTTCGAGGCAGTATCACTACGGAAGTAGGATAGCCCAACCTTCCTTCCGAGGAGTGGCTGGTGGGTTTGAACCGCCAGCCTTCTGGTTAGCAGTCAAGTGCTTTAGCCACTATGCTACCAGAGCTCCT